AAAAAAAAAAAAAAAAAAAAAGGATTTTTTTCACTTCACTCAAATGCAGATGACCTGCTAAGTGGAGGTATCTGCTTGTTAGACAGTGGGCCGGTCCCTAAATTCCCTCTGCTAAGTTCCCTCTGCTGTCTCACTCAACTTCTCATCTCCACCAGCAGCTGTGCTCCTTCCTTCTAGTATATTATATTGACTGGCGTCCAACATGTCCTGCTTCTCTGTTACCCACTATTGACATTTTCTTTAGGAGGAGTTTCTTCCTCTTCTTTTAACTTATTCAAGTCCTTAGGAGACAAGGAAAAGTAAGTAGAAAGGTACAATTTATTCAGGAAATTTATTTACCTGAAAGAAGAGTTTCACCCAACCTAGAATAGAATGCAGGTATGGAGTGGAAGGTAGGGCCCTTGGTTTGTCTTTGACCTTGGTAAGCTTGGGTCATTCCAAGTGGTGAGTCGGAGATTTAGTTCTATTCTTAGGGGAAAGCAGAAAGTATTGGTTATAGGTCTAAATGGCCCTCTTGGATCCAGTTTATAGAAGATTAAGCCCTGGGGACAGTGTAAGAGGCCTTTCAGGGGGTCAGAGATAGCCTGACACTGAGTCCTTTTTTTCGGTGTTCTCCTGAACCCTCACCAACCTCCCCACTCCCCAGTTATAGATCATGTTCATGATTGAAGCCAGGCTGTCAGGGTAGAAGAACCTCTCAGCATGAAATGAACAGTGTCTTAGCCACTGATGGGCTCTTTGGTATCAGCCCTCCCATGGGATTTTTGTCTAAATTGAGTATGGATGGTTTTTTTAACCTCTGAAATAAACATTAAGATCATGTTTATTTTGTAGCAGTAAACAGTTCCTTTCTGGAAAAATAGTAAAATACTTTCCATAAAGCTAAAATGTACAGCTTTTCTGCTCTGTGTGGCCCCAATATATGACATTAACAGAATACTTGGTGATTTGGAACTTAAGTTTTATTTAAGTTTCATAACAACCACTAAGATATACTAGGTGAATCAGCTATTATTTCCATCTTACTGATAACTGAGGCACATTATGACTTTGCTTTTGTACAAGCTCACCGTGTCTGAACCAGAACTTTAGTTTCATAAGTTTGCCTTCACATTGTACCCTCAAATTACTAAACATAAGAAGGCAGCATCATTTTATTTTATTTATTTATTCATTTATTAATTTTTTGTGGAGATAGAGTCTCACTTTATCACCCTCGGTAGAGTACCCTGGCATCACACAGCTCACAGCAACCTCCAACTCCTGGGCTTAGAGAATTCTCTTGCCTCAACCTCCCAAGTAACTGGGACTTACAGGCACCTGCCACAACACCCGGCTATTTTTTTGTTGCAATTTGGCCGGGGCCAGATTTGAACCTGCCACCCTCAGTATATGGGGCCGGGACTCTACCCACTGAGCCACAGGCGCCACCCGGCAACATCATTTTATACTGTAGCACTCTTAGTTATGACTGTCCTCCTTATGCTCTTCCTTTCAAAAAGTTCACCAGCATGTGTATGGGACCTCCACTTTTAAGGACATTCATCTTATTCCTGTCCCTCCTTCAGGTGGTAGAGTCCTGCCTGGAAGGTATCTGTAAGCCAGACCCTGGGATCTACAAGCTATGCTTAGAGCGGCTGGGCCTGCAGCCCTCCGAGTCCATCTTCCTTGATGATCTTGGAGCAAATCTAAAGGCAGCTGCCAGCCTTGGTATTCACACCATTAAGGTAACAGCCACTGTTTTTTAACTCCTACAATGCACCCGGCACTAGTTTCTATGCAGTCTTTTTACATTTGTAAGTATAGCTTTCCTCATGGTTTCCCCCTACATTTCCATACTCTTTTTCTTTTTTTTTTTTTTGAGACAGAGTCTCACTTTGTCATCCCCGGCAGAGTGCTGTGGCATCATAGCTCACAGCAACCTCAAACTCTTGAGCTTAAGTG